GTCGTTTTGTAAAACTCGTCCTACTGCTGTTCAGACGCTTTGATATTAGTGTCATTTCTTTGTCTGTTTTAAGGATTTAGCGTTGGCTGCTGCGATTGTTGATAAAAAATCAATTTTTGCATTCCTGCACCTTTCTTCAGTTTGCCGTATATCGTATGACGAAATATGTTGTTCTGATGTAGGCCTTATATGTTTGACAGCAGAACTCATCGGAATCGAAGCGAATTTATTCCACTGGAACGTAAAATGATATACCTTGAAATAATCCATTGAAACGGCTTGCTGCTCTCCTTAATGCAGACGGGTGCAGATCGATTTAGATTTTACTTGTCATAAACTACGTATAGCAAAGTTAAGTTTTCACAGTAAGCGAGACAGGGTTTCGTTTCGACTACCCCTGGAAATTGTATTCAGCTACAAGAGTGCTGACTGGCGGCTTATAATCCTTTACAACAGGGTTTAAAAATCGTCGCGATTCACGAATCAGTGCCATGATGGCTGAGGGTGTCTACCAATCAAATGTAATCGAAACCTGTTTCAGTTGCCTTGGCATGTCTAGTTTATAGCAATAAAATCTGAATGAGATCTCATGACTTATATTGTTTTCTGCTTGGTTGTTGTTCAGTATATATACAGTATATATAGATTTTTTTCATTTGTACTTTGTGAGGAGGGAAAAATGGAAAATGGAGGGAGGTGATATACTGGAGACCAGAAGTAGAATCTGTATATATATTTTAAGAAAGAAAGGGTAATAGCTTATGGAGAGTATATTTATGCGCCCTTAAGGCAGTTTAAATCAGGCATGATGGTGTTTGCTCACTTGCATTGAAGCATCTCGTGTCATTTTATTGGCTAAAGCAATACTGTGTTTGCATCAATGCTTCTTGAGAGTGGGTCTGCTTGTGTGTTTTTATGCGACGTTTTTGTAACTGGAGACTCACTTTAAACACTGTTAGTGATAAATATCGCTCTGACCAGTAAAGTAATTCGAGATGAATATTTGTTCACTACAGTTTTTATAAAGTCTTTACTTACATATAAATGGCTTCCTAGGAATCTTGTACCGATGCGAGTCGTGCATCATCAAGTCTGGATAGGGGAAAGCCTATGTGCATGCTTCTCTTGGTAATATCGGTACATCTTGTGCATGTCGTTCTGTAGTTGATGCGGGATAGTCCCACTAATCCCTTGCCTCTGGTGGTCTGAAGGTTTTTAAACAGGCCACAACTACAAAGCATTCCTTTCATTTGAAAACTTCTTGTATTCAGTATGCTATTCACTGGACGTAGAGTTAAGCTTTTCTAGTGTCTGTCAGAAGACGGTCAGATGCCAATAAAAGTGTCTCTCCCTCAGACCTTCCCAGTGTTCAACTATGATATTTCTTATGGTGAGACGAGTTTATCTGTTCCCATGAATTCATTCGCTAGGTAATCCAGTCCTTCAAATGATTAATGCATCTCCAATTTTGTCTTAGTAGATGAAGTTCTTCGACATATGGAGCGTATTCTAGATTAATGATCAACAGGCACCTTGAATAAAGTATGTTAGGCTCACACAAAAGCGTCGATGTGCTGCTGTACTTTGGTAATCGCTTCCTACGCATTCATGTGTTACAACATTACTAGTTAATGATTACCCGTTTATCGGCAAGTTACTTCATCTTTGATTTCGGTATTCCGTTTGTTTAGTTACGTTTAGCGTCTTGTGCAAGCTACTTATATTACTACTTCGTTCACCTATAATGAATAAGGAAATATTCCGTCACAAACAGCTAAACAACGCGTAAACACTTGATTTTCGCACATTGCAGGCGTACAGATTATTGTTCATCGCATAAAATGTTATTTAGTATATTCAGTATTGTTTTACGTTTTGGTGGAATAACTCGCGAAGTCAGTATGTGAGGTGTGAGGTTCAACTATACTATGATTTCTTATAATTTCAGGTAATAAGCAAGATAGTTTCAAGCAGTTTCTATAATTGGAGCAAGTTCGACCTTTCCCTCATTTCCGGGCATTTTGTACTTGTTTTTGTGCTTTTATCCGCTGAGGCACCGTTACGCTTCATTTTGAGTGATTGTTCAGTAAAATTAGCAGAAAATTCGCTTCCTCCAAGAAGTCAGTCGAATATGGATTCGACTGAAATGATGTCAGTACAGCCGCTCCTTAAAATGGAGTATCAGTCGTTCCGTAGACGATCTAACGTTGTCGAAGAGGAAGAAAATATTGTACGTTGAAGAACTTTGTTCTTTGAACTTGTCGGTAATTATCGTACTAGCTGATGGTCATTTGCATGCACAGACAACCATTCCAACAGTCAGTGTTTGATGGCGAGTGTGGAGGACAGACAGGTATTGTGTTGCTCGTGAATCGTTGAACGGTGCTGGTCATTTCGGTGTATTTTAGAACAACTGTGACTGACTGAACTGACTGACACTGTTTTTGCAGTAAAACATATGAGGTGATGAACATGCGTAAGTGATAGACAGATTTGTTGATTAATCGACGATGGTCACTGGCCTTTTTTTCTTCCGTGTATCGGTGATATATTTGACCATGCCTATGCGCCAGTTGTCGTCGTTGTTGCGTTTTGTGCTTAGCTATTCGACGACTGTCCGGTTTGTATGTGACCCATTCTTTTCATGTTCGGGCTTCTTCAGGATGACAAGGAATTGAAGCCCAAGGTGCGCCCGTCTTCTACAGCGGCGATGGGGGACAAGGAAGGCGCGGAGAAGGCGGACGGCGGCGCCGCGACGAAGCCCGGACACGCCGTTGACAGAGGTCGCGAGGGTTCGGTCGTGTCGTCGTCGACGTCTAAGGCGGAGCGTCGGGTGTCGCGTAAGCGCAAGTCATCGACCAGCAGTCACCGCAGTAGCAGTGTCGAGTCCAAAAAGAGCAGCACACGGCGACACCACAGACGCGGCAACAGTCGCGAGTCTCCTGATCGCAGCATCGTCATTGTTAACAGGCGCCGCGCTACCAGATCACGGTCCAGGTCAAAGTCAAGGTACCTTTTTGGCGGCTTTTATTTTATGTAGGTTACACCATTTACATCATTTACTACTCTAGAAACTCAGAGGATGCCGAGGAGCTGTACGAACGACGACGTCTGGAACGAAAGGTCAGAGAAAAGGAAACCGCGTACGAGGAACGTCTCCGTAAATGGGAAGGTCGAGAGCGCAAGAAGGAAAAAGAAAGAGAAAAACTTCGCGCCAAACTAAGGCAGGCCAAAAAGGAAGAGGTACATCTTGAAATTGCTGATCTGAACTTTTATGACCTATGCTGGTTAATTAGGCGAAAGAAGCGAAAAAGCTGAAAGAGTTTCTCGAAGATTACGACGACGAACGTGACGATCCAAAATATTACAAGTAAGTGATTTGGTCTGTTTAGACTTTCAAAGCGTACTTCAGTTTTGCATCCATTAATTCAATGTATATTTATGCAGTATAGCTGATATTCGTATTTTTATGGCCTATTTTGAATCGTGTAGACATCGGTGCCTTACTTGCATTACTTCCATTTATTTTTTAAAAAAAATTGTTGAATGGAAGTCGTCAAACAGCGTGTTCAAACATATACCGTAGAAGAACTTATGACCATATTTCAGTCCGTCATATCTGCCACCAAGGAACTTTAAATTTGGGGAAACTTTTTATCAAAAGATGCGACGTTCCAGTGGAATCACGTTATTCTAATTGATCTATACATGAATAAGCTGATGGAAAAAGCAATAGAATTTCATTTTACGCGTATCATGCTGTCCTTATATACTCAGATTCGACTGCGATATCTTCTTTCTGTTGAATTAGTTCCACATGTTCATTGTTTCAGGGAAACAGTTAAGGTCCAGTTAACGGGGTCACTAAATCAGGTTTATCGTCGAAACGGGTTGTCTTTTTTGACTTTTTTACAGTCATTAAGTCTTAGCTGACAGATCAAGATTCGAAATTTTTCTTTACCGAAACATGTTCATTGGAACCGATTTATTTATCCAAGTCCTGCGCACGATCTAACACAAGCGCGGAAATATCTCGAAGAACAGCTGACTTCGTGAGATGAAAATCTGCCAAAAATTTCAATGCAGCCAAAATTTCGAAAAGCAAGATTAGCGCCTAAGCATAACATTCCAAAAAATAACTACAAATCATCGGTCATTGCGGTTTAGTTCTTGCACCCAGTTATAACCTATGCCTGCCTTAAGCCACCAACAAATAATGTTTTGATATTTATTAGAAATTAAAAAAGTTTTTAGGGTTCCCTTTTGATTTAGCCAGTAAGCAACCCTTATTGTAAAAGTTCACTGTCTATCTTATCCATTGGCTAAAGTTCTGGTTTTGTTGGCGAGACATTTAAAGAATTTAGTGTCCGTTTCAAAGAACATTATTGTTCATGTTTGCAGGGTCGCATAGAACATTTTTTACCACCGCAGGATATGCCTTTTACCTGGGACGTTTACTCCGCCCAGTGACGCTAATTTTTTATTTTAGATACGGATGGGAATCTTAATCTTTTGAGTGATTCTATAGCAGCCAACATGAAGTTACCACCAATGTTATGTGCAATGAGTATTCGTTGTCCTACGACGTAAGCAAATTGGGTTTGAATTGTTCGACTCAGGCGTAGTTCAAAACCACCATTAAACCTGAAAATCTTTTGCGCGTTGCTCTTCATTATTGCTGCTTATATCGAACTTATGGTATTACGTATTGTAGCGTAACAAAACTGCGTGAAAGAAAGTTTAATATAATTCCAAACCATGGATCGATAAGTAACCCAGAATTAAGAAAAGGTTGATGAACACTTTGTATAAGTTGATGCAGTATGTTTTATAATATTGTTATGAATTTTCATTAATGGCATTTCTGTTTTGCAAATGATATCGTATAGTTGAGATCTGATGCATTAACATACAGTCGTTCCTTTGGATCCTTTATATTTTTACCGTTCAGGAGCAAAGCTTTAGAGCTGAGACGACGGGATTATGAAAATGAATTAGAGATGGACTTATTGGATCAGCAGAAAGAAAAGGAAGAGCTAAACGAGATCCGCGGAAAGCTGTTTGCCAACGGTTTTGCCAATCCCGAGGAGGAAATACGACGAGTAAGTTGTGATCGACGTTGTACGATTACGAACACTTATGACTTTTTATTCTGTAGATGGAAGAAGCGCGAGGATTGCTAGCCAGTAACATGGAGCATCGGTCGCCGTCATGGTCTTCACCAAAAAGAAGTCGTAGTTCAGACGAAGGATCTGCTCACAGCGCAGAAGCGGCTGCACCTGCTTCTTCGCCCACTAGCCCTCTGAAGGAGAAAAGTAGGTTCTGCTTTGCTGCGCTTTTCACCGTCGCATAAGTGAGTATCATTTCAGAGGAGAAAAAAGAAGCGGTTCTCGACCCGACAACATTCGTTCCGGCAGACGCCGACGGCGGCAATCGTCCTCTAGGATTTACGGGTTTAAAGTTGGGCGTTGGTGGTTCATCGTCTTCGAACCTACGGAAGGTGTTCAACGAGGAAAACGAAGATGAGACAGAAGAAAATGCCCCCTCCCGCCCACTGGTTCCACTGGAGTATACGGAAGAGGAGAAGCGAGCGGTCGAAGAATCGCGACTAACGGCTGAAGAGAAGAAGAAGATGATCAAGTCTTTGATAGAAAAGATTCCCACCTCCAAAGATGAACTTTTTAAATATACAATCGACTGGACTTACGTCGATCAGGTAATCGAATGGTGACCTTTTAAGCTCTATTGTTCGTTATTGTTTTATCAACAGAATTGCGCGTCAGTGCGTAAATTGGACAACTAGTACCAGAAATTTCCCTTTGTCAGTGCGCTAGCGCAGTGAATATGTTGTATCATTTGAATCTCACGACGGCGTAAATTTTTTTCTTATTAATTGCTAATTACCGTAAGCAGGCAATTCACTTTGCTGTGCTTCAGTGCAACCGGCGGAGTGATGGGTAGCCGATCGTTCACCGGCACAGGATGATGTTGGTGTTTTGGTCATACCAGACTGTTTAGTCATGTTGTCTGATGCCTGCTTTTTAGAGCTTCACCCATGTCATAGCTGACTGCAGAGTAATCAGTACCTGGTAAATAGTGTAAAATTAATTGATATATCGATTTGTTCGATCGGTATCATTCACCATAATGTTACTGATCTTGTTCACTTGACGGTCTTCAGATAGTGAAAGTTAATCTGATAATCATAGAATCTAATAACCTGCTGGTAGAGTACCTGAATTTAGCTGTGGTTTAGTTTGATATTGAAATATGCAAAATTCTAGTTAGTTTCCTACAGACCAGTGTCTAGCACTTTGTCATAGTTCACTTTATACTTGAATCGAAGTAGACCTTAATTATGGCCGCAGGGGAAAGAAATCTGTGCTAAACATTTAGACTGATTTTCGTTTTTACTTGCCCGTGTGTGAAAAGATTTTTCTGCTTAGTTGCTTGTACAGTGGATTGCACTTAAGAAATTCATAGATGACTTTTGATCGTTTGTGACATTGAGTTTATGTTATGACTTAATGATATTTGGTTAGAAGCCAGTTGGAGTTGCTTTACTTAACACTCGTCAGAGAGAATGAGTCTTAAAGTGATTATACTAGGCTGCGTGGCAGATTCATATCGTCCAACAATAGTTTCAAGTTTGTCTGTTGTGCAGTGATGGTATTTGTATTCGTAGTTGACATTTGGGTAGATGTGAACTGATTGTTCAAGAAAATAGATTTCCATTCATCCCGTACTTACCAGTTGTCCAATTGCCATGACAGCATGTCCTCAGTCAAGTTTCCTATGGTTGGTAGAAATTACTGACCTTATAGTAAGTTTCCAGAAGATGACGCAAAAAACGATTGAATAAACGTACAGCGGACAGTTCAGGACAAATTAGACTGGACTAGGCTTTTGAACGTTTCCTGATCTTTGAGGCTAGCTATCCGACGGTCGCATGGTAATTGTAAATTAAGAAAATTCATTGAAGCGTCGTCGCACCTGATTGCTATGAAGAATATGTGTGCTACAGCAGCCCTTTCAGATTGGAATTATGCTCTACCATTATTCGCTTGTTAGCTATATTATATGCTGGAGACATACCTGTTATCGTTTATGTCGGCCAGTATGGAACTCGTCAAATTTCCTCCATACTTACCCATAAAGGAAAGTACAAGAAAAGTTTGTAGTTGGTTTTGGGCTATCGGTCTTCGTTAAACTTGCAAGATTTATAAATCGTTTTTATAGATTCGTTGGTGCGGCAGTGGTCTTTGTCGTGATGCCACCATTCACGAATGTCATTTTTCAAGGGCAATATCTATGGCTTTATATACCTCTAGCATTGTAACCACTATAGTATACAGTTTCTTACTTTTTTCCTACATAGTGACTATAGTACCCCGAAAGATAAAAGGCCGTTTCTCAGGTGGAACTACTGTATTTCGACTGTAAATCGACGTTGTAAATTGTGATGCATGAGCGTAGAGTGGAGTCGTTGCGCATGCTCCAAAACGGTATTCGTGTTCTTTCTGGTCTCGGTGATTTTCCAACCACTCGATTCACCATTGTCTGTTTATTCTCAGTCGAGTGAAGGACAGTCATCAACGTTAAGTATAAATCTGGGACACTTTCCAAGCCATTTTAGACGACACCGCTTAAACAATAATTCGCTAGAGGTACTGATGACTGCATCGACAATCTCTGAACAATATGTTCTCATAACTAAATTCATGCCTATCTCTCTAGATTAATTCCTTTCTAAACTGTAACACGTGCGAATATTCTACTAATGGCATATAATCAGGTGCTCTGTTTTAGAACTTGATCGAAAAGCGGTTAAAGCCTTGGGTTGTGAAAAAAATCGTTGAATATATTGGTGAAGAAGAGCCGAGCTTAGTTGATTTTATTTGTCAAAAAGTCGACGAGAAAGCTAGCCCTCAGAGCATACTGGATGACGTGTCTATGGTAATATTTGTTAAATGGTTTTATGGTAACTGTCTTTGTTGAAAATCAGTGACTTGAGTTGTACGAATGATTTCGTTTGAGGCTCATTGAGAGTTGGTATTAGAGTAGGTCTCGTGTTTTTTTTCTTTTCATGTGATTCCAAAGCATTTTCTGCTGAACTAATCTCTCCAGACGATTTACGGTGTCGTTGCTGATGCCGCATTGATGGCATTTGGTAAGCGCCGTTGCAGCTGTTCTGTGCCAGATGGAGTATAATAAACGCAGAGCTGATAACAGGAATTTAGGCAGACCGTTTCCATAGGTACGACTGGTGATTCCACGACCGTAGCAGCTGAACAAAGTTTTCTCAATCATGAACAAGATCTAGAACTCGAAATGTCTCTTAGTATATCCCTCCATCATCTACAAGACCTTTGCGAAGGTACTGATGAACAGACTTGGGAAACAGACTAGGAATGCCTGCACGCTGCACAACCAAAGGAGCTATCATTATTCAGAAGTGGATTTAGTGTGACTGAGCATCGCAAGGTGGTACAACAAGTAACTCAGACAAGCGACGAATATCTGCTTCCTTTCTGCCTGTGGTTCATGTACCCCGAGGAGGCTTTCGACTCAGTCTACATGCGGTCTTTTTTGGGTTGCGTGAGGTGCCAGTCAATCGAGAAAACATACAGATAGAGACCTCATTACCATGGTTTAAAAGAATGTAAGTCCTAGTCTAAAGCGTTGTGCAAGCACAAATTTCAAAGTTAAAAACTGTTCAAAATCGGAAAAGGCTTCTGACGGGAGTCACAGCATCCTCTAACAAGGAAATGTTTTCACAACAGCCCCATAGAAGGAGTTTTTAAGTCGCTCTTTTGGGAAAATTAGGTGCTGAACATAAATGATCATTACTTTAGCTACCTAATATACCTAGCTACTGACCTTCGGTGCATAATCGGGTTTTGGATAGTGAAACGACCTCCAGATATGGAAGTTAGCTGCGACAAATAGGCAGTCGCAAATGGGCAACGGTAGACGATCAGTGTGTGGCTGATTTTGAACTCGACAAGTTTGTTTCTTAGAAAAAAGTCATAATGACTATCTCATGACGAGGTAAGCGACCAGCACCTTTGAAGAAAATTGACTGCCGTTGTCACCGCTGCCCTGCCGTTAAACATCAGTTCGTCCAGGGTTACAAAAGATGACTTCTAAAGGCTGGACGGAATTGTGCGATCCATCTTTGCGAAATCCCCCTGACAGTTGTTAATACCAGTAGCGTCTGTCAAAACTTCATGCGGAATGTTGCGGAGAGCAAGATTCTTCGCCGAATACCGCCCAGTTCATTTGATCAGGGTGGTGAATTTAGTCACTTACAGTTTTCGGATGAAGTGCTGATACCCTTAAGGCCACCAGCAGAACTTGAGAAAGAAGAATCCGAAAACTGGACGACGCTACTATTAGACTGAAGAGAAGTATAAGTAGACTGAAAATGAATCTAAAGAAGACACCACTTATGGTTAACAAAGGACCGGCACCCTTTTGACGTCTGACGTCAGCAAACTTAGGCTTGACGAGTTGCAAAACGATGTCTATCTCGGACAGTTTATTTCTGCGATGGAGAACCGACTATGTAAAATCAGCAGAAGGATTAAAATGGTATGGAGCATTTGTGAAAGACTGAAAATGTTCCTGTCCGGGAAATTACCCGGAAAGTTTTCGATCGGTGTTTGCTCCCATTTCTAACATATGGTTTCGAAACATGGGTCCTGAGCCTGAAATCGATTCATTACCTGTAGAAAAGAAACAGTGCAGCATGGAAAGATGTTTGGAATAATTGAAAAAGGTGGAAAGATGAATGATTGGATGAGAGCGCAAACAGAAGTAAGTGATATCACTGTTCGAGTAAATAAATTATAGTGGTGACGGGCTGGATAGTTTGCAAGAAGAATCTACCATCGCTGAGCCAGACATTAGACAGGGTTACAATAGAGAGTAAACAGCTCGTAGGATGATCGCCGAATTGATGGCAGGATGAGCCGCAGATGTTCGCTTGATCAAGATGCGTAAAATGGCAGAAAACAGAAGTGTGTAGCAAAGTCTTAGAGAGGCGTTCATCCAACAATTTGTGGTAAGACCTGCTTATGAAGTTATCTTGAAAACGCTAATCGGTTCCCCAGTAAGTTGTCCAGCGTTCTTAAAAGTTCATAATTACTGGAAAAACGTCCAAATCACCGATTTTTGTTTAGGTCTTGGATGAAGAGGCAAGTGTTTTTGTAGTGAAGTTGTGGCGGTTGCTCATCTATGAAATCGAAGCGAAGAAAATCGGTATCGTAAAAGGTGATAGTCAGGGTTGACGAACGAAATGGCGATGAAAGACGGTGGCTATTTTAACAAAATCTTGAGTTGGTTGAAACGTTCTCCTCCGCCTACGTCGTTTTCTCAATTCTATAAATGCGTATTGGGCCGCGAAATCAGTGGACCGATTCAGCAGCGGCTAAGTTGTTATTTTATTGGTGTAAAAATTGTACATTTGCATAAATTAATAAATTTGACACCGTAGTTCAGATGCATTCACTGGTATGATGATCATAATTCTCTCTGGAATGTTACTCACCCAAAATTTTGCGTACCGTGTGCGACGGTGAGTCTGTCCGTGCATATTGTGCTTTGGGACAGCTGACGTTAGCTGATGGTGGTGTAGATGTTGGTACTTTCTTTGTGGTATTCTCTGATGGCTCCTGCGAAGTGAGGTGCATATTTTGGGTCGCGATGATCGCCGTCACATTTCCGTAGCTTCTGTATGCTTCTAGCAGTTGTCTTTGTAGTTGTACGGTGGTCAGCAGAAAAGTAGGTGGGTCTTGACTGCCTGTGACAGTTGCACCGGTTCCAAGTTTGTAACGCAATATTCGGCTGATAGAACTGACCGACGGCACATTACCTTTAT